ACCCCAAAACCCCAAAACCCCAAAACCCCTCCGTAATAAAATACCTAAATCTCAGTCATTTAAATTCAAGAATATTCTAATTAAAATTAAAGTATTATTGAAAGAAATGATAAAAATTGTGCTCACGTGTTTTCTACTAAATTTCATTTTCACCTTAGATATCACTCATGTAGATGAATATTTAAAAAAACTAACTATGAATCTTAAAGATGCTCTAAAATAACTGGAATAATTGAATAACAAAAACTAAAGAGAATCTAGTAAGGTTCATTAGATCATTACAGAAATAGACTTCATTTAGCATACTTTAACCAACAATGGAGTGCACAATCATGTCTAGTTTATTAAATCATTGGGGAAGAATTCGTATCTTTAAAAGTTTTATGACTAAACTTAGATACTATCTGATTTTTATTTGTGGCTAGCAACAGCTTAGTATCGCAGAGCGACGCCTAATAAAGGTTTAATAGGTAATTTTGGATTATAAGAGGACAATTAATTGGAGTAGGCCTTCTTAAATTTCTACACTTCATCAATCTTAGGGAATAGATAAGCGATGTCTTATGTTGGTATATTTTTAGAGAATGGGATATTTCCTAATTAGAAAGTTTTACTCAAGTATATTGAGAATGATGGCTAATATCAATTTTTAGAGCTCCTTAGTGACATTAAAAATGAGTTGATAAAACCAGATAATTTTACTATTTACGATTTTAAGTAAGAAATGACAAGCAAAGCACTTATTAACTATTATATGGCATCATTAGTAGATCCTATTTACGAGTAACTATTGCTGAAAAAAGATGAGAATGATATGGCTCAAATAATAATGGATAAGGAATACGAAAAGGAAATAAATTAAAAAGCCAATTCACTTAAGTAAAAATCATTAATGGCCTAAATGATTCTTGGATTCAGATTTAAGTACGGATTAGGAGTACCTAATAAATGTAAAACAAGTTCATTGTACTATGAAAAGGCTGCTATGTAGTCGATATAATATGTTGAATAAACATATGGGCTAGATATAGTTGAAAGGAAGAAGTTGAGTATAGGTCCTCATGTCCTTCAAGATAAGGTTTAATTAGCAGATTAATCAGAGGATTAGTCTTATAATGATATGATAGATTTACTTGATCTCAAGGGCTAATACGGTAATGTAGAGAGCTTATCAGTGCTTGCCATCTAGCATGTTCATGGAACAAAGAGAATAAAAAGAGATTTTTTATAGGCCAGAAGATCATTTGAAAAAGCACTTAGTATAGATTTTAATGATAAGGATTCAAATTATTATATGGGGCTAATGAATTTGCATGGATTAGGAGCTTATGCTAATGTTTAAAAAGCAGTTGAATACTTTAAGAGAGCATAAAATGACTCAAGAGCTCTTAATGCATTAGGTTATATCTATTATACTGCTCCTGATTATCTTGAAATAGACCATTCTGTTCTAATGAAATATGGTAATATAAGATAAAGCTTTAAAGAAGCTAAAAATTATTTCCTAAAAGCAGCAGAAAACGGAAACACTAATGCCTAATATAATCTAGGTTGCCTTCATTTAAATCCAGGAAGCAAAGAAGAATATAGTTTCACTTAGGCTTATGACAGATTTAGGTATGCAGCTGAAAAAGGACATACTTTCTCTGCTTATAATGTAGCTGTGATGCACTTACTAGGCATAGGCACTTTTGAAAGTTGTCAAATAGCTCAACTTTATTTAAAGCATGTTGCAGAAGTTGGATAAAACACTCTCCTTTTGAAATCTGCATTTAGCTTGACTATAGAATAAAGATATAAAGAAGCAGCTCTAATCTATATGGAGTTAGCAGAGCAGGGACTAGCAGTTGCTTAGCTTAATGCAGCCATTTTATTTGATAAATATGATGTGATTGATAATGACAAGATTTTCATTTCAGATGTTGCAAAAAGAGATAAAAAAGACGAGAAATTCAACATTAATAAGCATCTCTCGCACAAATACTATCAAATGGCAGGACTCTAAATAGATACTTAAGATGAAGCTAACCTTAAACTAGGTGACTTTTATTATTATGGGTAAAATATTCCTATCTAATTCTTAATATAGAATTGCCTGCAACTAGTCATATGAAAAAGCGATTGAAATGTACAGATTAGTAGTTTCACAATCTAAAGACTCAGAGTTAAGAGGGCAAGCGATGTTTAACCTTGGAATAATTCATCATTTCGGTATGGGGGTTGAGATAGATCTCGAGATGGCCTAGATATACTATGACAAAGCTATGAAAGAGGAATCTCAAGCTCTCACACCAGTATATCTGCTTAGTCTCTATGGAAAATGGTAAAAGTTAGATATGTTAGACACCATTAAGAAGTTCATTTCAATACATTCAGATTCCCCAAGATCTCAAATGACTGTTTTGATGATGCTAATTTGTTATTTCTGCACGTTTGCTGGAATGGTAAAACTATTAAGAAGAGATTACAAAAGGAATCATTGATGAATAAAAGCAATACATTCTGTATGTAATTAAGCAATTTCACCTTTGTATCTCTAACTCTATCAAATATCTATGTATCATATCTTTCGGGGTTTTGGGGTTTTGGGGTTTTGGGG